TTACACTAACCTCTTCCAACCTGGTGCCCTATAGATGTATTTGACTGCACCTCCACTGTTTCCAACTGGCAAACCTATGGTGACTAGGGATGAACACGATTTCAGTCTATGGATGAGTTGGGGAGTACTGGCTTACAGTATTCTGAATGAAGGTAATTGTGACAGGCCGCAATCCTGAACTCCTGCTAGGAGGTGATGATTCTTTGATGTGTTTTAGATCTGATGTGTATTTTGAAGTTTTAACTAGAGTTAAAATAGTGGTACCTAGGTTTTTAGAGTGCCAGATCTCAAGTTTCACTATAATATGTGCTGAATCTTAGAATGCAGTTAGACAGACCAGTTATCCCAGGCTGGATAAGGCTAAACAGGGTTCTGTTGAGTCTTTTCCCTCTAGTACTTTAAACTGGATATGAAAGGGCTTGAATCTGAGATCTGCTGGAACATAAAATCTGTCCTATCTTGCTAATATTTCCCATCTTCAACTTCTCTTCACAAAATCAGTTTTATCTTGTTGTTGTTTAGTTGTTAAGTCGTGTCCGACTCTTCATGACCCCATGGACCAGAGCACGCCAGGCCCTCCTGTCTTCCACTGTCTCCCAGAGTTGGGTCAAATTCATGTTGGTAGCTTCGGTGACACTGTCCAACCATCTCGTCCTCTGTCGTCCCTTTCTCCTCTTGCCTTCACACTTTCCCAACATGAGAGTCTTTTTCAGGAAGTCTTCTGTTCTCATGAGATGGTCAAAGTATTGACCAGCTTCAGGATCTGTCCTTCCAGTGAGCACTCAGGGTTGAATGCCTTCAGAATGGATAGGTTTGTTCTCTTTGCAGTTCAGGGGACTCTCAAGAGTCTCCCCCAGCACCACAATTCAAAAGCATCCATTCTTCAGCGGTCAGTCTTCTTTATGGTCCAGCTCTGACTTCCATACATCGCTACTGGAAAAACCATAGCTTTGACTATGCAGACCTTTGTCATCAAGGTGATGTCTCTGCTTTTTAAGATGCTGTTGAGGTTTGTCATCACTTTCCTCCCAAGAAGCAGGTGTCTTTTAATTTCGTGGCTGCTGTCATCATGGAGCCCAAGAAAGTAAAATGTGTCAGTGCCTCCAGTTTTACTTAGTGACACTATAAAAGTAAAGAAAGGAAAATTAATCCTTCCCTACAGAGGGCAATCCTATCATGCATTTTGTCCCAACTGAGAATAGTTCTATGCAAGAGAAGTGATCAAGATGACATGCAAGTTTTCCATAGGTGCAGTTGTCTATACATATAGTGAAACAGATGTACAGTATGTGTAGTCATCTCACATCTCATATAAACAACACACAGTGTGTATGATCCTAAAGCAGCACTCCCTATATTTAAGGGCAGATGTGTACACGTCTGTGCAAATGATAGGCTAGATCAGGAATTTGTAGTAGACTCTAAATCTGATGCTGGGGAGGTAGGCCCCAGGATCCCATTCCATTGTACATATTATTGCCATTAGATAGCAGTTAATTAAAGGCTGCTTATGTTGGAGCAACCCCAGTTTGACCCCGTAGTTCTTTGTCAGTGGCTAAACTGTCACTTTGCATAGCAAGTCAATCTAGAGCAGGCCCACTGAATCATTGGGGATTTGGTGAATCAATTCCTCCATAAATTCGGTCGATTCAAATGTGCTTACCCTAGTTGCAACTTACAGTGGTGCCTCGACTTACGAACTTAATCTGTCCCCGAAGACGTTCATAAGTGGAAATGCTCATAAGTCGAAGCACCATTTCTCATTGAAATGAATGGGAATGGGAATTAATCCATTCCAGCATTTTTTTAAAAAAAAAACCAAAAACATAAAATAAAATAAGGCACACAGAAAGGCCCATCGGAAGGCACTGGGGCCTTTAAAAAGCAACAAAAAATAAAGAGAGCAAGCCCCGAAGGCTGCAAAACAAACAAACAAAAACACCCAAAAATAAACATTGAGCAATCCCCACGCTGGGACTTGCAAAAAAAAATCACCAAAAACAAACAACACAGCACAGAAACATAACCCCCCCCAGCGCAAACCCATCCTGAAAAACCCACCCAGAAGTTGTTAAAAAGCAAAAAGCAGCACCTTATCAGGCGGACCGAAGCCTCCTCTGATGGCACTCACTCCCTGGCGGATGGCGGCCAGCAACAGGCCCCGGTCATCGGCGTTGGGCAGCTGAGGCAGCAGTGGGGACAGCCATGGGGGAGGGGCCCTTACTCATGAGTAGACCCACACCAGGGATGGGCAGGGAGAGTACCGGCTTCCCGCACCCTGCGGCGATCCGGAGCCGCCCCCGCCTCTCCTTCCTCCTCCTGCGCCGCCGCACTCTCCGTCCCTGGAGGAGTCCTTCAGACTCACATTCTATAGATTAAAAAGTTCCCTGACCCCCTGCTCTAACTGTTGGGGCAAAAGAGCTACAAAGAAGCAACCTCTTCACCACCAATGGTTTGAATTTCCTGTTCCCCCCCCCCGCCTTTTTCTGTTTTTATGTCAAAGCTCTGCTCGCAAGTCGAAGTGAAATTTTGTGAGCGGAGCTGTTCGTAAGTCGAAATGTTCGTAGGTGGGGCGTTCATAAGTCGAGGCACCACTGTACTATGCTAAGCACTGTTGCTCAGCAGGGACAAATCAGTCAAGGGACTCATAAAAGGACCTAATTTCTGTAGGTTGAAAATATGTAGTACTTGTCTGTAATAGGATCCAGTGTACAGGGGATGTTGGTTGACTTGGCAACTGTAATGGCAAATGGGTAGAGAGTTCCACCATGCCTCTTTAGAAAGCCACTCACTATTCTAGCCTTTTGTTTTTATTTTTGGGGGGCTGAGAAATTCAGAGTTTGAACACTTGCCCAGCCTTGCCGTCTATTCTTTCTGACTTTATATCAGGTAAGATATAAGATGCCATGTGTTCTCAAGGAGTGTTTGTCCAGCAGGTTAGATCCATTTAGGTTTCATGATCTTGCTTCAGTCAGAGAGCCTGAAAAGAAGCTCTGCCAGGAAGGAAGGAAGGAAGGAAGGCAGCAGCAAAATGCAGAAGAGGATTCAGCTGTATTGCACCAGTGCTGTTCCTGGTTGCCAGTATCACTTAGTGTTTGGATTTTGACAACTTGTCATGGGCCATGATGGAAGTAGGTGATGCTCGCTAGTAACCAAGACCCTCAGGCTTTGGGCCATTTGAAAGACTAGCGAGAGGAAAGAAATCTGTTTGGCAGCCAGATAGTATGGGGCCTTGATAAGGCAGTGGTATCCTGTTGTGATTGTGATAGCTGTCAAAAGCATCCTGCTATGCTCTAGAGGAAATGGGTCATAGCTATGTTGATACTGATTGCTCCTCAGCAAGCCCGTTATTCTTTTCAGACTTGTATATTATTGGTAGTTCTGCCAAGCCCTGGACTGCATTTTCACAGAAATCTAAACAGTCTTTTATAAATCTAAACAGTCTTTTATACAGGGAGTACTTTTTTAAAAAAACACATTTTAAGTCTTTGTGTAATTGGGCTCCTTCTGGATTTGGGGAGTATCATGAGGAAGACATGGATGATGACAGGCAATAAAAAGGGAGAAAGGAGAAAGTGCGAAAGGAGAAAATGGAAAATGTACAAGGAGGCATTTTTGTAGCACAGTAGGTTTCATTCAGGAAGCATGATAGTGAAATGACATTGCTAATTAATAATTATTCCGTGCTGTCAAGTTGATTCTGACTTCAGGTGACCCTTTCCAGGGTTTTCTAGATACAGAATGTTTTTAAATGATTTACCTTCTTCTGGGGGCATCCTGGGACTGTGGAGCTTGCCCAAGGCTACAGAGGCTGGCTCTTCTTCTTGCAGGCACAGTAGGGAACTTCTGTCTTTGCAACCACATACCTAACTCAGTGAGCCAGCCAGCCAGCAAAGGCATTGCTACAAATGTAAATTAGCAAACTGCCAAAATGATTGTATCAGACATACCATGAAGTTTTGTTTCCCATCTGTAAAATGGAATAATGGGTGGCGTAGCTACAGGGTGGTTTTGAGACTTAATCCTGTGGATTATAATTAAAAAGAATTTACATAACTTAATAGCTGTTGCGCCAGTAATAAATACTGTATGTGTGTACAGTACTGTATAAAAGAGAACAAAGCAGGGGCATATGCTGTGAAACTGAGACAAAGGCTTGTACATTCGAGGTCTGTTCTCTGGTGTTCCTTGTCATCAGTATTATTTAACCTTTTTCTGAAGGGAGTGATTTGGTTTTGTGTGGTAGCAGAAACAACAGGTGACACTGTAATATTGCTCTCTGTCTGGGCTGTACTCTATAAAGGTACTGATTTGGTCTCGCCCATGTATTTGCTGCTGAAAAATAACAGACTGGCCCTGCTTGCGTGCCTTTGGGTAACAAAAAGAATAAAACAGATTGCATTCATATTTTCTTGCTGTAGCTGCTGGATGTAAATGGCCTAGGCTCATTACCACCATAATTTCGCTTAACACACCATGAGTTGCTGCAGAAATCAAAAGAGCTATTTTTCCTTTTGGCTCAAGTGGTGTAAATGTAGAGGTTTTGCTCAATTTTAATAGAAGCACACATCAGCTCCATCTTGTATGGTTCATAGCTGAATCAGACCCATGTTAGCATACGCTGGTTTTTTGCATTGCTCGACTACCCTTTTGTGTGGAAAGAGGCAATTGTTCTCATTCAGCTAATGTTGCAGGAGGCCATTCATCCAGGGGGATCACCAACAAAACAAAATGAATTAGTCCTGTTGATCTGATTCATCAGCTGCCACATGGAAGGTTTTGGAGCATGGAAAGAAATGCATTTCTAATGTTTAGACAGAATTATTTAACCCTTCAGCAAGAACTGAAAAATGACCCTTCATTCCCTTTGTTTTGCAATATTAATTTCTTTTCCTGTTTTGCTGAACTTGCAGAAAAGATCTAACCCATTAATAAACAACCTTTATAAAACAGTCTTGCTTTTCATGTTTAGCACTGATGGTTTAATTTCTCTTCTCCAGGGAGCTCAAGTGCAGACAGATTACATCCCTCTGTTGAACTCTTTGGCTGTATATGGCTGGCAGCTGACTTGTGTGCTCCCCACTCCAGTTGTAAAGACAAACAGGTACCATGAAAAGACAACCTTTTTCTTAGGCACAGGAATCAGTCAGAAAAGTGGCTATCTTCTTACCTTGGGAACCTCTCGGTGTACATTTAGGCAACTTATAACTGACAGGGCACTCTTCCACAAACTGTACCCTCCAGATGTTTGGGACTACAACTCTCATTACTCTCAGTGATCAAGGCTATCGGCCCATTTATTTGTTAATTTAAAGCAAGCACATAGCAAATCTTAAGCTAACAACACTAGTTTTGAACAGAGGGTTCACTAACTCTTGAGTCCTGCTGCCTTTTTGATGAAGAGGGAGGCTGGACTGGTAGTCTTGTCCAGCACTTGTAGCAATGCCTGACATGTAGCTGACTTCCAGCATTACACTAGTGCTTGACTGTCAGCACAAATGGGAACTTCTTCCTGATAGGCTTCCATGCCAAACAAAATTCAGCGTGGGTAGGGTTCTTAGCTCACCAGAACAGGTTTTGAGGGGTGCATGAATGCGTCTGCCTGGGATCTTCCCCTGTTATTGAATACACTGACAGAAGGTGTTCGTTCCACCAATGGATCCACATCATTGGGTTCTGTCACTTACCTATATTCCCTCCAATAAGGCCTTGTTCATAACCCCATGTACAGTTGATGGAAGATTAGGTAGGAAGCCAGTGTTTCAGAGGAGAATTAATTGAAATTAGTTATCCATTCAGATTTCTTCCCTTTCGCTCTTAAATTATAAAGACAGAAAATGCTTCCACATTAGGTATAGGAATGGCAGTGCATGGTTTGCTGCTTGTTAAATTACATCATAAAACCCTGCTGGCTTAAGCCAAGATTTGGTTTATCCAGCATTCTCTTTTCACCAGCTATCAGCCAGAGAGACTCTGAGAGTTTACAGGCATGAAAATGATATTTCTCTGTCACTGTCTGAGGATCATTCTGAGATTTGCTGCTGGAAATTCCATTTATCTATTACTGAGCCTATAAAAATCACCCTATTTAGTTGCTACTTATCCATTTGTTATCATCATGCTTAGAGAGAAATGCAAAGACCCTCATCTGTCTGCCAGGTATTTCATGCATCTGATATGCAAATCTAGTCTACAAAGGTTTATACCATAGTGGCTGACATGTTGTTGAGTAACTATGTGGCTGTGAATGACAATAATGTCACTGGCATGCAATATTTCTCTTTCCTTTCATTTAAAACGTCCCATTCCCACCTACACCCAGCCAGGTTCCAAGGCTCCCTAGTGATCCCATTTGATCTGGGGAAGCCTTTGGGAGCCTGTCAATGGGGTGGGGAGAGGCTTTAATGTCAGAAAATTGTTGCTGCCCTGCTGGCAGTAGTCCCAATCCTGGTAGCAATGTTATGGTACTAAGGGCTCCCTTCCTCATCATGAAGCTTCAAAGAGGATCCGTAGGGAGCCTTGGAACCTGAAAAGGGGGGGGGATAGGAAGCTTTACATTAAATTAAATTAAGGAGTAATACCACAGGCTGATGACATCATCAGCTATGTTGTGTCATGTGAATTTTAGCCAATCATTGTAGTAGTCTTTAGGCTACCCTAAGAATATCTTGTATTTTATTACAATGAGTTAACATATCTACCCATATAGAATTTATACCGGCTGTTGCTTCTTGGTACTGATCCATACAGATCTTGGTTAAGTTCCTGTACCATGCATTCCAGCTGTGACTCAGTGCTATGTTTTGGTGAAATCCAAACTTTTATCAGGCTATTCTCAAGGTTCTCTATCATTCAGTAAATCATTCACTATTGTTTAGGAATTTTTTAAAAAATCAAATTGACTGCTAGAACTTGTTTAAATATGCAGATGTGGCATCTGGTGCAGTTTTTCTTAGATTGTGCATTTATAAAATATGTGCCTTTTGTTGCTTTTTTCCTTAATACACAAAATACAGTGGTGCCTCACTTTATGATTGCCCCACATTACGACAAAACCGCTTTACGACGATCTTTTTGTGATTTTAATTGCGATTGCAAAATGATGGTCTGAATAAGGGTTTTTCGCTTTGCGATGATTGGTTCCTTGCTTCGGGAACCGATTCTTCGCAAAAATGACGATTTTCGGACAGCTGGTCGGCGGTTTCAAAATGGCCACTGGGTAAATAAAATGGCTCCCTGCTGTTTTCTGGGACGGATTCCTCGCAAGACAGCCACCGAAAATGGCCACCCTATGGAGGATCTTCGCTGGATGGTGAGTTTCAAGCCCATTGGAACGCATTGAAGGGGTTTCAATGCGTTTCAATGGGCTTTTTATTTTCGCATTACGTTTTTGTTCTACAGCGATTTCGCTGGAACGAATTAACGTCGTAATGTGAGGCACCACTGTATATTACACCTGACCATTGAATGTTAGTCTGCATTAAAGAAATAGGAAAATAACAGATTCTGCCTGCTGTTTCAATTTGATTTCCGTTGTGTACGGCGCAGTAAGCAGGACTACAACAGACTTTGTAGTTTTCTTTATTAATGTCCACAAGAGTGCAGAGCTATATTTCTCATGCAGATAAATAATTTACCAGGGACTTGTACTTAAATCCCAATGTACTTTGGGAAACAAAATGGTGTCAGCAATAAGTATTCCCACCACACCCCATAATTAAATAGATGAGGGTACAAAAGAGTCTCCTAGATAGCTGAATAGTTTAAGCACAAATCCTGGTACTGTATTCTGTGTGAGAAATGGCATGTTCACTATCGGTAGAAAGCTGATTTCAACAGATAATCATGTTATTTGCCATAAATTTTAAACTGTATACTTTGGATGGATGGAACACATTCTTAGGACTGTGGTTGTGTTTGCATTTTTTAAATAGGGATGGGAGTTTAGCCACTAAGCAGATTGTCTTTCTTCAGAGACCCTTCCTGCTCCAGAAAACCAAGAAGAAACAATCTAAGGTATATGGCCTTGAATTCCTCTCTCTGTTTGTCTTGGCAAAGCTTTCATAGTCTTAATTGATTTTCCACATCAGTAGAAATGGCTTGTTTAACATTTCTGTGGTTTAAAAGATTTGCTGAACACTTGCTGAACTATGACTTAAACGGTCAAACTGAAAGAAAAAAAAAGTGAAGTATAAGAAAGAGGTGAAAGGGTCCCACCTTCCTCTCTCTGTTTGAGTGAGTGGATCTATATTGTTATATATGCTTTATCTCAGTACTTACAAATACTTCCCTGCTCTCTACACAGTCTATTACTGTGAATAGTAAATATTCAGTGAATTCAGCTTTAGCTTTTTCATGTAATTTTGAGGTGACTCAATTGCTGTCCTTTGCTCTTTGACATACCCGTTTACTGTATTGCACTACATGTAGCAGGCTTTTGTTTGTGACTTACGGTTAATTACAAAAACAATTAGAAAAACACTCAGAGGTAGGTTAGCATGCAGTTGTAGTTTGTGATATTGTATCATCTTGTGTTTTAGCCTCTTTGTCATAGAATTATTGTTAGATGGTCAAATATAGAGGGCGATCAGACAGGCATATGTATATCTTGCTATTGTGGTTGCTTTTAGGGGTCACTTTTCCAGTTCACCCCTTTTTCCAGCAATCACATGTTTTCAGTAATATTGACCCATTCTGCCTCTTTTGCCAGCTGTTGCACCCCTTTCTGGAGCAGTGCCAGGGCTGCAGTTTATTGGGTGCCATTGAAAGCCTTCTGCAGTCCGTGCAGTTGGTTAATCCCAGATGGAGTTGCAAGTGGTATTCTCTGTGGTGACAACCCTGTGACATATGCAGTGGGTTGTGACATTAAAAGGGACAAGGAAGAAACCTTTTCCCTTTATTTTCATATTCTCTAACTTTTAATAACATCTTTCCCTAACTGACACAGTGCAAATCTAGACACATTGGAGGTGCCCTTTGCACCTGATGCAGTACCGACTTGTTTGGAGGAAATTTTTGAAAGCAGAGGAGTTGCCATAATTGTCAGACAAAAAAAGGCAGGATGGTGCATGTCAGTAATTGAAAAGGGGGGAAATTGGAGCACTCTGAAGTGCTGTCTGGATCCTTCTCACAGGAGAAGAAACATCTCCTGTGTGGATGGAAGGATTGCTCAAGTGAGATAACATAGGATGCACTGAAGATAAGAGCATTTTAAACGCAAACTGGATCGCTCCAACCTCCCCCATCTAGACCAGCCCTTAGTTAGGCTAGCACTTAAGCATAGTTTTTTCTTAGCCTACTATTTAGACAGCCTCAAGTCAAGTAACCTCATGGCTTCAAGTGTCTCCACCTTTGGAGTTTGTTTGGTGCCCCCTTCATGAACTTCAAAGCATTACTTGAATGACTGAAATACTGCAATACTTTGCATGAATTGCTTCCCTGTCTATTTTTGAAAATAGCGTACACACTGTACTTTTCAAGCACCTCTTTCAGCACCTGGCAAGAATTCTTCAATTGAGAATATCTTTTCAAAAAGCTGTGTTGTCTTAATCAAAAGTAGGCTGCATGTGACTTTTCTAAATGGAACATCATAGGATATTTTACTAAGGTGATGATTTCCAACCCTCACCCCTTGCACCTGTTATCATTTGAATTTTTTTTCAGGAAGTGGTGCTTAATTGTCTCACCACTGAAACTGAAACATGAAAAATGGTAGGACGTAAGAGCAAAACAGCTCATATGCTCTCTGCTTATTTATTAAATCAGAATACAGTCCACGGGCTTGGGTGCATCATAGCTCCACATTCTTAAGCCACTATCTTAAGAACATGAGCCCTCTAAAAAAGCTATGCAGACACTAACAAGCAAATTATTGCCGCATTCCCAAAGTGTTTCTGTTTAAAAATAAAAACCATAAAACCTGTCCTGTCTCATTACACCTTCTACTATATTAACATTAAACACTTAGCATAAACAGATTTCTGCTTAAGTGTAACATTTATCACTATATTTGTTTACAGTTTCACTGGAGGTTCTCCAAAGAGAACAGGCACCATAAGCAGTCCAAGAAATCTCTGAAGGCAAAACTAGATACCAGAGAGCAACAGCAGATGACAACAGAAGAAATGCATGAGTCAGAAGTCATAGAAAATGCAAGGAATTCAGAAACCCAGTTTTCCACAATTGAAAGTGGGTTACAGTTTCCAGTAATCTCAGACCAACAGCTTGGTGGTGTCAAAGATGGGAGAATGGAGGCCTTTAAACACAGAGACATGCTTATCTACAACAATGAGGTATCAGCAGAAAAATGGAATGCAGGTCAGGATGCTGATCAAGAAACAGAAGGTTTGTGTTTGGATCAGAAAGGCATACATGGGAACTGTGGGGACCACATGTTCCAAGAGCACTGCACCGCAGCTGACAATAATGAGAACTGTGGGGCAGAACTGATAGAAAGCAGTTTTGAGCCTGCCTGTCAGTTTGACTGAGAGAGGTAACCATTTGCCAAAGTAAAGAAGTTGTTTTGATTATCACTTTTCAACATGACAGTGTAATAACACTTGATTTGATACCGTTGAGTTGCTACAGGTACATAACAAAAATGTGATTGCTGTTGCATTTCTTGGCAATGTATGCAAACCTAACAGGCTGTTGTTTTTTCTTATTCAAGAAAGACCATGGATTTCTAGCCTGTGCTGAACTACTCTTTAAACCAAACAAAAGCTACATCCTGTATTTTTAACAATGTATCGTTAGAATACACCATATTTGTACTGGTTTCTGTCAAACAGAATTCAGGATATAAAGAGCTTTAAAGAAGTGACTATAATTATACTTGTCTTAAATACATCTATATATCTTGCTTTCAGAACTACTAGACTCTTGCAAAAATTTCAAGCAATAATAAAGCCATGTGTTTTATCTGATAAACCACAAGTGGTAAGAAGTGAGAAAGGATTCTTCATATGCTTAGGAATCTAATTAATACCCAGGGTATCTGATTACTGTTTAAGTTACAATAAATATTGCACACAACAACATGCTCATAAAAACAAACAAACTGCATGTTAAAAAGCTGCTTGATTTATATGTATTTCATCAAAGGTTGTACACTTGTCACCTACTTATATTACATTGGAAGTAAATGAGTCCTTACTAAGAACTTTCCAATTGAAAATAATCAGCCAGTAAATATTAGACAAGTGGGAACCAGTATGGACTTAAAATATACAAACTGATAAGTAAAATAAAATAATTCTCAGCTGACATTATGTAATGCTATCATTGATTTCCTCATATTTTGCACACATATTAATCTTAACAATAGGTTTTGTGTAATTTGAATTCTTAAAGCTCTAAAATATACTTGAATTCTTAGTCATATTTCATGTGTGTATTCTCTTTCCTTCATTATTGAGCAAACCTACCTGGGTCTGCATTTGATCAATGTTTAGAATCTGTAAAGTGTTTTGAAAATGCCTTCTGTCCTTGCACAAATTGAAACTTGAAGCCAATAAACAATATAGCTTCTTTTCCCTACTGGCTGGTTTATGTTTGATAGTCCCCATTAGTTTCTCTGTAAAGTATTTTAACTCAATAAAACATGGTCTCTAGGTACACATCACACATACTTAAGCTCTTTTTTAAGTTGTCAGCTTCATCTACAAGAAACTGCGATTTGCAAAAACACTTTAAAACAAAACCTGGAATGGCTACATAAAAGATTATGGAAGTATAGTTTAAATCAATTCATTCTGCACACATGTACAAGGCAATTTAATATATTTCCTCCCCAACAATCGAAGAATGCTTGTGTTGGCTTCAGCAACTTAGCTGAATATTCAGAAAATAGCATTGTAAATAACTTTAATTACTTAATTACTTGTGGAATTCTACAAAAGACTATCTCAGTCATGAATAGACTCTGCCCCTAATCCTTTATTAAATTGCTGCTTACAAATAACTTAGTGGTTCCTATTTAGTAAGAGTCAGAGCCATTCTCAGTGAAAATGTGCATGGAAGCAATTTTGATTCAAAAGAAGTGAACATTTGAAATTCTGGGTATCTCACAGATCTTCTTTGTACTGTCTTGTGCAGGACAGGACCCTCTTTCAAAACTGCCTAGGGCAAATTACAAAAGATTCTGGCAGAAGGCACCCTCAAACTGATGTACAAGCTCGTAAGGTGCAGGAGCCATTCCTTTATGTTCAATCCTTCTTTGATCGCAGCAGCAACAATATAAGGGAGGACATCTTGATCCAAGCAAGCTAGGCTTGTCTTGTTTGCCTTTTTCCTGTCTCTTTCATTTTGCATCTTCCTAGTTCTTCTTGCTTCTTCTTTAAAACTACAAAAGATGGGAAAGGAAGGGGTTTTAGAAGCACATACAGTTATGAACTTCTGTGTTTTGGAAAATAGAATTAAGCATCTGCATCATCAACAACTTCTATCACATTGCTAAAGAAGCTCTCATGTATATGCTCCACTACCCAACCACGCCACTACCTTGAAAACAGTGCATCAAGTTGAGGATTGCTGTTTAAACTTTTGAACAACGACTCCTTCCCTTGGATTATCCCTATCACCAACTCAAGCAAGCCATGTCCCCTTTTGCACTGTTGCTATAACACTGCCACAGCTAAGGGCAGACTTCACTGAAGGGAAAAATGTTTTTGTAGTAACATGATATAAACATGTCATAGCACTGGTCAGCAGTGTACTCAGGTATATCTTGTGACTGCTATCTAAAACAATAAGCAGTTTGTAAACCAAAAGAGTTTTTTTAAAGCAATAACAAGGCTAAGTGAACAGGTAAAAAGAAAGGTTACTTACCTGTAACGATGGTTCTTCAAGTGGTCATTCTGTGAATTCACACAATCCCGCCCGGCCTCCCCTCTGTCTGTCTGTCACTGGCATCTCTATGACTCGAGGGCCTATGGCGGACAAATGGAACTGAGGGACGGTTAGGCTGGGCGTGCGCAGTAGGGGTAGTCCTAAACATTGTTACTTTTCTCTTGCAGCTAGAAAACGTTCCGAGAGGCCCAACGCTGGCGCTGGTATTAACCCTTTGTGTGCATTCACAGAAGACCACGATGAAGAAAGAAAGGTTACTTACCTGTAACGATGGTTCTTCAAGTGGTCATTCTGTGAATTCACACAATCCCGCCCGGCCTCCCCTCTGTCTGTCTGTCACTGGCATCTCTATGACTCGAGGGCCTATGGCGGACAAATGGAACTGAGGGACGGTTAGGCTGGGCGTGCGCAGTAGGGGTAGTCCTAAACATTGTTACTTTTCTCTTGCAGCTAGAAAACGTTCCGAGAGGCCCAACGCTGGCGCTGGTATTAACCCTTTGTGTGCATTCACAGAAGACCACGATGAAGAAGCAAAATTCACTTATCCACTGCCTGAAAACCTTAAACAAAAAAAACCCAGAAATGCATATCTAAACATACTAGTACTGTCCACTAGAGGAAGCCAAAGACCTTGCAATGTATAGTGTTCAATACTTTTTGGCATCAGTGAAGGGGGCTTGGTGCTGGTCACCCATGGATATCATGGTCCTATTGTATGCAAGCAATGTTTAAAGCTATCAGTTTCTTCAGTACACAACCATAACACCCTACTTTGTACTTCATCATATGTTCCTCATATACATATTGTTTGAAAAAGGTAATAACAAAACTGCACTATGTATTAGACTCTCATAGACTCTCTGCAAAGCAGACTACACAAACTCGCACTCCCACCCTAAGTTCAAAGTCAGCACTAAAAGCTCAAAATAATTCAAAGCGCAACCCAAAAACTCAGCTTCTTTCTTCTTTTCATAACCCCTTAGATATAAAACTGAGTCTGTCCTGCCAGAAATCCTGCAGACCAATAAGCTTTCAGTTCCATTAATAAGCAATCTTTCACATTTCTTAACTGCCTTAACTGTCACTCCTGGCAGACGTTCCACACACATCTGTCAACGCTTCTGATTACCATACAAACCTATGTGCAAAAATACATGATGCAAAATTGCCACATCTCACTTGGCTCCAAAACTTCCACTGTTTAAAAACAGGGCTGCTAAGCCATCTATATATAGAAAATAAGAGGTACTATTTATGTGACTGCTATTCCTTTCTAAAAATAAAGTGTTAATGCAGAATATATTATAGAAACTGAAATATTCACAAACCTATTCATTGGAGTACATAGAGCTGTTAAGAAGAACGTTCAGAGTCAATTTACTGTCATAATAAGGCCCTGATTGTACGAGTCAGCATGCCCCTGTGGTCAATCTGATTTCCACAATGATCTCTGTCTGTTTTGAGCCATCACAATCAAACAAATTGGAGTAGCTGCATCACAGCCCCCATATGGAGATAAAAACTCATACAGATGGTACCTACACGTATCCTGATGGACCATGCATATATATTGTTTATACCTTCATTGGTTTCACAATTTTATATCAGTGTAATTGTTGAAATATGGAATTTGTGACACAACTACTTCATCTCCATCTTTGGAAGAAGAGTCTTTGCCCTACTGGAGAAGAAAATGAAAGCAGTTCACCTTAGTAAAACATTATCTTTGGCTCTAGCACTCTCAATGCAGGCAGCAGAAACAGCTGCCGTAATTTTCAGTGAGTGCTTAGTTGCCTTCATTGTTCAAGAAAACATGAAACCATTCACACAGCCTCTGCTGAAATACTGTGAAAGAGAAAAGACCGAGATAAAACATTTTAGATAAGGGTTAGAAGAAATAGTCTTGAGTTTAATCAGAGATTATACATTATTTTAAGCCACTGTGATATTTGCCCCTCGTGGCCCCTGTTTGTTTTCCAAACACAGGGCACATGAAGGCAAACCAAACACCTTTTCACACTCTACCACCAGTCGATCACTAAATCAACATATTTTACTTAGGAAAGATGAAGGTCCATTCAGTTTTCACTTTTTCTTAGAACAGGTTTATTAATTACAGATGTTTCTTTAATAATTCGTAAGTATTTAAAGGTTCATCAAGCATCAATCTTCTGTTTAAAGCTCACAGGTTACACTCTTCAGACTAATCACACCTCAGATCTCCCAAGTATCTCTCTCTCTCTTTAACTCTGACCGAACTCTACTCTTTTTTCTCCTCTCAGACTCAGAACATGAATAATGCATAACCTATTCAGCATAATAAGGGTGAACGCCCCAGCCACTATTTCACTCAGAATCGCATAGCCAAGCATGGTGCTGGCTGTCGGATTCTGGGAGTTGAAGTAAAAAAAAAGAGCAACTTCCCCAACCTTGGTTTTAATAAGCCAGAGTTTAGTAAAGCAAGAACTCTCTTGGGCCCATTTCCCTAATATCTGTCTCTTCATTGCTTTGCACACTGAGGTTTAGTATTTCAACTCTTGTCTATTTAAAATACAGTTCTGTTACACCTAAAATTGACAAGCATAGTTTTACTAGTAAACTTCTCAATCATGATATGACTATGATTTGTAAGAAGACATCAAGAGAGCAATTCTATTGGTAAGAAGCGCCCAAGGCAGAGGAACTTGCCTCCCTCCAAAACCCTATTGCGGGCTTAAGCTCATGCCAGAAATTGGTGGGGTTTTTTTTATTCTGCATGCTTATTTTCTTTGCCAGCTTAAAATTGCTTGCCTCAGATTTGCTTCAGTTGAATTAAGTTGTCTGGGAGCCGGGCCTAGGAATCATTTAGATCCATAACCACTTCTGTCACAGCTTTTAATTAATTATTTTCCCTTTATACTAGCTAGTCTTCCAGTCACCTCAGTGTAAATCATAAATATTTGACAATAAATAAGTCCAATAAATAAATAAATATTATTGCATGGCAGAGAAAAACACTGCTCAACTATATACAGTGGTGCCTCGATTTACGGACGTAATCCATTCCGTAAATCGAAGCACCATTTCCCATAGGAATGCATTGAAATGCAATTAATCTGTTCCGGCCAAAGGAAAAAAAATCACCAAAAAACCCCAAAATACTGCAAGAGCCATTGGAAATGCAATAAATAAATAAATAAATAAATAAATAAATAAATAAATAAATAAATAAATA